CTGCACAACCCAAAGTTGCCTTCAGTTCACAGCAGAATTTCTCCCCCCTGCAGTAGCAAGCACGGACTTAAATCTGTCCCTAGCATCACAGTGTCCGCCTTTGCTTCCCTCTGACTGTTTTCCACCTAATACTAGAAAACTTGGATTTGCTCAGAAAGAGTGCTCCTCAGCCCATATCCTTAGGGAATGAATTTTCTACAAGTGAAGGACTCACCTTCCTAAGAAACTATTCATTGTAGTCTCTCTACAACTTTTTTATTTCTTTAATTCCTCCAATATTCTACAACATACATTAAATATCTTGGCAGTTACACTGTACCTTGTAAGTTGGTTTACAGACAATATGGAAAAGATACAGCTCTATAACTAAATTGACTGCTTCTTTGTTTCTGTTTTTAGGTGGGGCTTTTTTTTTTAGTTCTTTTAAGATACATATTATTTTTATTTTTTGAAATTGAAATGCAACCACCACTATTAAACCAGCATAATTTCTAACTGCATTCTAAATATTTGTCCTTATATACCCACAGATAAGTATAGGTCTCACCCCTCATTCAAAAAACATCTTCTTGCAGCAGATGGAAATCATCTCAGAAAACCACAGCCAATCAAATGCAGAGAACGAGTAACTTAGTGGTGCCCAGGAATAACTGATATGTTGTCTATAACACAACTCTTGCAACTAAGGCTCAAGAATCAAGCAGAAGAGGGGGCAGAAAGATTACAAGAGCCAGATGATCAAGAAATTTAGGTGAGAATTCATCTAGAAATATAGAGAAGATACACCCAACACGGTTTCACCAGCATGGCTGCCTAAGCAAGACCTAAACAAGGATGATGCCAACAGATATGCTAATATGAAAGGACCCTGGGGTCTTATGTCTTCACATTTTTCCCTATCTCCCTGCAAGCATCCTAGGACACCATAGATCAGAACATGTACCTAGCCTTCTTCCATATTTGTAGTCATGCATTCTTTGATCATGGGTTTCCTCAGTTAATAGTCCATTAGATTCGCTTCCTGAATGGCACGCCTTTCTCCCCTTAGCAACACTGTGTGGCACGAGCTGATTTTATACCATCTACAACTCAACAGAACAAGCTCTTAGTTTCATTTTATCTCAGCCCTTGCTGCTCTGGAGGGAAACCAAACAACTGTGTGGCATCCATGTCTTTCCCACCACGCTAAACACACATTCTTACTGCTTCCCAGAGGCTGGCTGCTTTTCATTTTTAAAACCAACACAAGAGCCAGGCCTGGTGAAATACACCTTTAATCCCAGCCCTTGGAGGGCAGTGACAGGTGAATCTCTGTGGGTTTGAGGCCAGCCTGATCTACAGAGTGAGTTCAGAGCTAGACAGAGACCCTGCCTCAAAGCAACAACAAAATTCTGAAATGAGAGTCTCTCCTCCTTATTCAGATGTTAAAATGCTCTCACGATTCCCTGATCTCCTTTGAGTTTCCATAAAAGAAAAGCGTTCTTTCCAGAAAGGTTCTGTCTTCCCTGCTGCACAGCATGGTAAACGCAGTCTTCAAGTGCTACCGGTTTCTTGCCTGCATCTCCACCACCGAGTGTCTGTGGCCGCCTTGCCCCTCCCGAGGCCCTCTGTCTAAACACTGCCGCAGTATTGACCGAGCAACAAAGATGCTCATAAACTGAGTTGGGCCTGAAGGATGACTGGCTGACCTACACTTTCTGAAATTACTTTCCCTCTCACGTAGACCCATATTTCTTACACAGGTTCCATTTTGGTTATTTATTCATCTTGGTACTATTACTAAGTACCTTATGGAGTCATAACTAACAAATATTAACTGGTAGAGACCCAACTTTTAACTGCCTAACATTATCAATCTTATCAAAAACTAGAGTTGTTTTTTTAGTCATAATTTTATTCAAACTATTCAAACTACCAATTTACATTTGAAAACAGTTGAGAACATCAGGAAAATGCTGCAAAATGAAAATTCTGTTTGAAATTTCAAAGCAAAAGCAAAAAAAAAAACAGGGAGGCAGGTCAGTGAGTGCTTGCATACACATGGTACGTGTGCGTGCACTCACATGTGTATGCACACATGCACACATACACACACACACACACACACGCACATGCACACACACACACAAATAAATCTTTTAAAAACTAGCTGGATGACAATTGGGTAAAACATGCTATACACCTAATCTGTAAGTTAAAAATTTTAGAGAAATGGTTGGTATTTATGTATCTCTATGCTACGGGGCATAAAAGGATTTTCCATTTACACTGTAGCTTAAATACCACAGGCCGTGTGTAAAAGGTGAAAAGTTCCATTTTAGTTTTATGGCAAAACTCCTTAGACAACACAATGTCTTTAGAGCATCTTACAAACTTAAAATGATCAGCCAGGTGCCAGGTAAAGTAGCACACCTGGGAGGCAGAGGCAGGAAAACTGCTTGAGCATCAGAGTCTAAAGATAACCATGGCAAAGAAATGTTTTTGAAAAGTCATCGAGACCTGAAGAATGCAATTTTATCTTTAAAAAGACCTTCTGGATTATGTAAGAATCTCAGCAGATACTCTGAAAAAGTGGCCATGTTCACCTCTTTGCTCATGAGTGCCCATTGGGTCTTCTTTAAGCCCCAGGCACTGAACGCACAGCAGAGATCATGCAAATCCTCGTACTGCAAAGTACTGTTTCTAGGGATGTTGGTCACTCATAATTATTAATTACAGGGCAGAGTGACACTCAACATTCATTCAACAAATTCCGAAGAGTTTCAGTGGAGAGAACGCACATGCGAGGAAGGCACTGGAGGCCTGGCAAAGCAGTCCTGAACATATCCTAAGCCAACCACAGAATAATACGGGCAGCGCCAGATGGGCCAGCAAACCGCTCCTGGTCATCATGTACACAGCGTTCTTTTCCCTGCTGCAGTAGTAATTTACAGAGGTGTAGAGCTGCCCTCTAGTGACCAAGATGTAAACTGCAAAGGGCTTCATTGGCAGAAACCATTAAGTCCCCCGCACCTACCCAAGCCACTAAACAGTAAAATTAATACACTATAACACATTAAAGTTACAATAAAACTCCAAAGGAAAGAGACCAAAAGTGAAATAACAGGCTTTTATGTTTCTATTATATATTTGAAGATCTGACTCTTATAAAAGGTATAGTCAAAAATAATATAATAACTCTTAAAATGAACGTCTCATTTCAAATTCATCCAATGGTTTTAGTAGGAGATGATACAAAACAGTCGCCTGGATATTACCCACATAAAAGTAGAATTTTTCATCATAGGATCTGTAAGAAATAATGCCTATGCTCAAATTTCAGCTCACCTTTATGGTTTTTGTAGTTTTAGCAGAGATGCTTTCAGCGTCTCCAAACATCACTTTATCAGTAAAAGGGGAAACATGGCGGTATTTTAAAGTGTTACTGTAAGGACTGCATAGATCAAGGGACATGTACCTAAGACCTGCACCCAACCCTCTGCAAAGAGCAGCAAATTTTGTCTATCCAACACAAGACAATAATTTTGTTGTTCTTTCTTTCTTTCTTTACCATTGCTGGCTTTATTATTCCATTTTTATAATTTTAGCTTTTGATCTCTGATCAGTATAAAGTAGTCATTGCAGCTAATTAAAAAACCACAGGCTGATGTACCAGGCATGTCTAGTGCACCTCCGTCAACACTGGTCTCCCCTCTGACACAAACAACAAGAACAGACAGAAAGCCGGGACTCAGTTCCCAACAGCAGCTTTATTTGAACAGTAAAAGCTCATCTAGTTGGTGTGCTGTGGAGAACCCTGTGACTGTCAACTCTAAGCAAACCTCATAGCCTGACCTTACTTCCAAGAGGACACTTTCGTGTAACAATAAACTTATTTCACAACAGAACAAAGTTTTCACTTTGAAGAGTTCTCAAAAGTGAACAGTTCTCAAGTTCAGAGGGGAGAAGATCATGTCCTACATAATCTACCTAGGCCACTATTCATGAATCAGAAACCTACATAGGTTGAGAGTTCGAGTGAGACTCCTCTCACCTTCCATAGACCAAACACAGTAGATCAGAACCAATCTTCCTCCTGTTGGCTTACAGTGCAGATTAGCTTATTTTCTAATGTATTATGAAAACAGTGTCAAAGGCATGGTTGGGAATAACTATAAATAAACTTAACAGCTCCTTGCATATCCAGAATGGTAACTGCCATCCAGAGTCAGGGTTCTCTGAAATGTTTCCTTTCTAGACATTTTAAATGATTTATTATATATATTACACATATATTATATATACGCATGGCTGCATATGTGTCAGAGCATGGTTTTGCATGTGTATGGGGGCCATAATTCAGTATCCAATATCTTCCTTAATCATTCTCCACCTTTGCAGGGTCTCTCAATGAATCTAGAACTCACCAATTTAACTATGCCAGTGAGTTTTTAGGCTCCCCCATCTCTGCCTCCCCAGCCTGGGGATTCCATACATGGGTCATAATAGTACAAGTGTCTAAAAGATACCATCGAATGTCCCATCTTCTAAAAGCAATTAAAGACTCCTGGAGGGCTCGGTAATACACTCATCACCACCCATGCACAAAGGCCTTGCTCCCATCCATATTGTGTAGAAAGGAGTCTTACTAGACATTAGAAAAGTCATGCCAAAGTCATTTTAAATAGTTCCCCTGGAACTGTGCTTAGACATGTCACAGCACAGACATTTCCTGAGGAGGCCTTAAGTTTCTGCTGGAGACCACAAATGCTGGGACCAACTCCATGGTTGGAAATAGAATGATATAGATCTGCAAAGCTTGTACTTGGTTCATTCATCTTGAAAGATGAATGGGATTGCAGAATGTAAATTCAAAGGAGCATTTCCTTTTGCCTGACAGGATTCCCTTGCAAGCTAATGCTCGAGCAGCCCATCCATCTGTGCAGATAGGAATGTCAATCACAGATCTAACACTGTTTTAAGGCAAACAGGGATTTGTCACCCGAATGAGGCTTTCTTACCTGCTGGACACTGTTGGAACATTTCTTTGGGCTTTCCAAAACAGAGGATTGAGGTTCTGGATTGGAAAGGAAGCAGACAGTCAGCACCGTAAAGAACAAAATTCCCCATTTCCTCAATCAAAAGTGAAAACTTCCCCTAGACATAGATTTTTCACAGTTTCCAGTCTTTTTCCCCAATTCTACTAGTGCATCGTGAGACTGTGACTGCTTTTCAGTATAATAAACACATGATGAGACATGCTTGTGTCTTTGCTGTTTCACACACAGGGGCAGCCCAATGCACTGTTCTGCATACCCAACTTAATTATTTTTCCCAATTGTTTTTTATTTCGCCCAAAAGTCCCTGCCTTAGAATGTCCATTGTGTTAGTCATTTAGTGAAAGTTCATATGTGATGAAACCACCTCAGTCTCGAAGCAAAGGATGTTAAAGGTTCTTTAAAATACTGACAAATTCAGTTCTGCTTTCAGTCCTGGATGACAAATACTGCCACCTAGAGGCACGAATAAGAAGGGGTTCTGAAGGGATTTTCTACCTCCAGTCTTTCTTGTCATTTGAGATGACAAATCCATCATAGTGGAAACACATTAGAATAAGTAGATATTTCTGTTGTTGTTGTTGTTAAGATAGAGGGCAGTACCTTCTATGTGAAAATTTAAGACTATAAAAATAAAAATGAATCATCCATCCTCTGCAGTTTAGAGATGAGCAGACCATTTAGTGGCAAGATGAGTGCTAGAGTTTAAATCTCTAGTCTATCAAGGACAGACACTACAAATCAGGTAGAGAGTAACTGTCCATGAGTATCATAACTGATGCATACATCAATGCTACAGAAACGTATAGCATAGTTAGTGTTTAAGGAACATGATATGCCGTGAAGAGGTATTGAAAACTTTCTTTGTACTCAGATGAACAGCATGACCTCAACATGGGCTTGCTGGCTTTGGATCATCTGCCTGGCCTTCCTAATTCTCTGTAAACATCCCATCTTCCCCACTAGCTCACTATGCTCCTAATTCCATGGTCATCTTCTAACATGATTCCACAGGGCTTACAAGGCCACACAGGCTATTACCTACACTCACAACACTCTTGTTTCCTTACACCCTCAACGTCACCATTCTTTAGTTACTAAGTCCCTTCTCTGAGAATTTTGCTCAGGCCTGCAGGCAGACTTTTCTTTCCCACCCACCAGTTCCAAATAACCAATACAGAGACTTAATATTAAGTATAAATGGCTCAGCTGATATCTGAGGCTTGCTCTTAGTACTTAAATTTGCCCATTTCTATTCATCTGCATTCTGCTACATGGCACCTCTGTGAACTCTATTATAATCGCACCTTCATACTTCCCTAAGACTCCCTGGTCCCCAGCCCTCCCTTGTCATCACACCCTCCATTCTGTAGTCCATCTCTTTGACACGTATCTACTATTCCACATTATCGTTGGAGTCAGGAAGGCTCCCGGAACACTTATGTCTTCAAAGCTCTGACTTCAAGCTTGTGGTGTTATTGGGAGGTCAAGAGAACTTTGTAAGATTAGGTATCATTGTCACTTTGAGCATCCTTTAGAGGAAATAATAGGATCTTATGCATCACTCTTCTCTGGTCCCCAGAAGCTAAAAAGGTAACTGCTCTGATTCACCAATGATCTGTTTGACCACAGATCCAAAATCATGGGACCACGTTACCACAAATAGAAACCTCTGAAGTCAACCCAAATCATTTTTTCATTCTGCAACTTGATTTTATCATGTGCTTTTTTATAATACTGCAAAACTAAGTAACTCACTCCGCCATAATACACACTTGGTGGAAGCAGGTACTTTTGTCAAATATCCTCCTGTTGTACAATCAGAACAGTGTTTGCTGACAGTAAGTGTTTAAAACAGTTACACAGTGAATGTCAGGATGAAAACAAATGAAACATTGTATCAAGCCAAGAAATAGTGCTTCCATAAAAAAAGTTGGGTAACTGTGTTAGGGAGGAGTAATGAATTCTTCGGAGGCAGTATCAATCTGTCTATCTACTTTACTTCCTGAACTTCAGCTAAGAATGTATCTTTAAAAACAAAAAAAAAAAAATCAGAGAATAGCATGGGGCAGTCTCTTGCCAACATGTGTCTGAGTGAGCAAGAATATGACCAAGTGGCTTTAAAATGCAACCATTGTCCCGGACAACACGATTCCACCAGGCTAATCAAAAAGCATATTCTCCTGACATTGAACTTAGCACCAGTATCATCACCATTTGAACAGAGATCTTTTGTTTGAAAGCTAATCAAATCTACTTCCATCTCTCCTACTTCCACCAAATAGAGACCCACCGACAAGTCCTGGCATCGAGGACAGGGAGGGAAGTACCTCTTCTTCTTCTGCCTACTTAAACATTGCAGTAAGAGCAAACGGATCTCCTCCTTACACTCTAGGGTCTGTCTTGTTTTTTGGTTTTTTTGTTTGTTTGTTTGGGTTTTTTTTTTTTTTTGGTTTTTCGAGACAGGGTTTCTCTGTGGCTTTAGAGGCTGTCCTGGAACTCGCTCTGTAGACCAGGCTGGCCTTGAACTCACAGAGATCCGCCTGCCTCTGCCTCCCGAGTGCTGGGATTAAAGGCGTGTGCCACCAACGCCCGGCGTTTTGTTTGTTTTTAACTTTAGACATGCACACAAGGATTCCTAACTTTTTTTTTTTTGCCCTGCAGTTTTTGAGCTGGCAAACTGCTAACAAACGCCAGCTTCCAGGCTCAGATGAGCAATGCTGACAAGTGTCTTTAGCAGAATAATATAATCAGAAAACTATTTATTAGAGCCATTATCAATCAGATATTGTGAGACCCCCATACTCAAATTCTCAGCTTCCCTCCATCTCATTCCACAGGTACCTAGGTTGGGTTCTTTCTCCCTTTATCGACATCCTTTATTGATATCTTTTGTGGAAAGCCTGTGTTAAAACAGCAAAGAAAAATTCACATCTCAGAACACCCTGTAAAGTCACAAGCGAGGATGCAACAGTCTAGAGGCACAGATGCAAAGTAGAAATAAACTAACTCCACGGAGAAATAAAGTGAAAATAAGTGAGAACTAAGATCAAAAAGTAGTGTAGACATGGAGAAGAAGGAAAATCTAGACTAGAAGACAGAAAAGACACTGGAAGGAAAATGAGTGAAAAGAATTACAAATAACAAAAGTGCTGTGCAATGGGTAAAAAATGATGCCATCCAAGAATCAAATGGTTGGTTTGTGAGTGGCAGCTCAAGACCCACTCACTGGCAGGTGGATTTGAGAAGGTAGCTTAATTCCATCCTGTGTTGAGTGAGCTCAATACACATGACTGTCCCTTGTATAAAGCGGTACACCTGTTTCTAACGTTTCCTCAATCTAGGACCCCAAGTCTTTTTTCAGAATCCCTTTCAACCAGCTCTGAGACTGGAAGTGTCTCCACCACATACCAGAATGGCTAAAGAGTCCACACAATGAAGACACAGTGAGGGTACATTAAAAACTGCCACCCCCACTGTCCCTTTGAAAGCCCCCCAAAAAACTGGATCATTTTGGTTTAAAAATCATAAAACAGAGAGAGAGAGAGAGACAGAGACAGAGACATGATATTCTCAACAAATCTTTTGATGTTCTGTAGTTCGTAAATAACCTCATAAAAATCTAAGCATGGTCTAAAGTTCTTGGGTTCCTATAGGCGCAATTTGATGTGTTCTGTTGTTTGTTGATATGTTTTAGGAACAGGGTTTCACTGTATGACACAGGCTAACCTCAAAGTCGTGACCCCACTGCATCCATTTCCCAAGTGTGAGATCACAGGTGTGCACAGCTCTCCCTGACTATTGGAAAGAGAAGGCAGTAAGTATAGCAGCATGTGTCTCGCCACTAAAAATGGAAAGAAAATTAAATCACAGTCCACAAATACAAAATACATCAAGTAGATATTCTTAAGAAATTTACACAGTAAGTATTGGGCACAAAGCTAAAATTCCCTAGATTATATCTTCTTACTGAAATACATCAATGTGGTTCAAATCTAGTTAATTTAAGAGACACAATTTATTAAATGGAATTTAAAATGCATGCATTAGGAGTCTCATCTGTGGGAGAGGCTTTTAATTCTAATGCAGCATGTCTCTGACAGGTAAAAATGGAGTGGGGAGCTTAACATGTTCTAATAGGCTCATCCATATGCTCTTGCTTCTTTGATAGTAGAATCATCTCATCACTGCCAACAGAAGACATTTATACTCAGATCCCAACTAGATAAAGAGAAAACACAGGACACACCCCATCCCCATCCACCAATACACAGAAACACAATCCATCCTTCTATCCCTGGATTATGTGACAAGCCCAGGGAGACAGAGCACAACACCTCATCCTTGGTACTCCAGCATTAGCATATTAGCTAACCAGTGTCAACGCACTCGGACAAGACCTAGAAATGGGCCGGAGATACCATATTGTGGTACACCACACAAGAGCTCTATTGAGATTTATTTTTGTTTTTATTTACGTGCGCATGCATATATCTGGCTTTGTGAATGCCCATGTGTGCAGGTATCCATGGAAGGCAGAGAAGGGTGTTAGGACCCCTGGACCTCATGTGTATGTGTGGTTGTGAGCTGTTGGATATTATCTAAACTCAGGGAGAGCAGCAAGCACTCTTAGCCACGTGGCCATCTCTGCAGACCTTCGCAATCCTTCTGAGGGACCATAAGAGACATATCGTCTAGAGAGTAGAGGCTAAAACGTGTGCTTCCCTAAGCAACTGTTACTTTCAACCTCGTGATGACTAAAGGTGGCACACAGTCGCTCGTGTGCCCCCTTCTCCTTGGAAATCAAGGAATGAATTTCCAACTACCTTACATATTGCAGCTTCTTCTGAGACACACTGAGCTAACCTAACACAGACTCATTTACTGCTTCACCCTAAATTCTTTTCATTTGGTCCATCTCCCTTTGTTTGTGATCCTTTTGTGCATCTTAGACATTCACAACTGTTTAAATGTTTTCTTAAACAAATATGAAAATAAGCATTGTTGTAAGATTTCCCTA